CACGACCATCGACGGCATCGACGGATGCAGCTACGTTCGCCGCGCCGCTCTGTAGCGCATACCCCACTCCGTTGTCCGTTGCATCTCGCCGCCTGTATCGATGGTTGTCGAAATAACATGTTTTCCATCCATACTAGTTGTTTTTTGGAATTGCTTCGAGCAGCATCGAATTTCATGGCGGTGCAGAGCGCCGACTTCGTTTCACGAACGGTCGATCTCTGCGTATCATTATTTTATATCTGTTATTTTTTAAAAGTAGTAACGGTTGCGTTATGTTATTTCTAAATAATTGTTATAAAATAACAGATAGTTAAATAACAACCCATCACTACTTTACTCCAGTCTTCCCTTCCTGGTATGGATCTTTTTCTATTTCGGAATAAAGATTTAAATCAAAAATCATTTTAAAAAAGACTTTAATTTTCAGTCTTCATATTTTGAAAAATGACTTAAAATCAAATGACTTAAGTCATTAAAATGATTTAAAACAAAAAAAGACTTAAGTTTTTTGTGAGCTTGCAGCTCTGCTTGAGAGCATAATAATTAATAACCACTCATTCACTTCTTTACAATATAAAATACTTGAATAATTTGCATAAACTTGCAGTTTTTATACCTTGTCCAGCTATATTATTTAATCTTGAATCCAAATAAAATTCATGTTGCCAAACATAAACAAATATTGTACTTATCACTTTTCAGTCCATTACTTTTAATGCTATATTTTGCGTTGGTGAAAAATGATTTAACGAATTTCTAAATATAGATAATCGAATAATGTGTTATTTTTGGATATATATTCGTATGCCTGAGTGTACCAGAAATGATAGATTTACTACAAATAAACAGAGCCAATAGGTTTTCAACATTTAATATTTACTGCCAATAATAACCTTTTTTTTTTTGATCGCGCATTTTGCAATCTCTAATGGGTTGTTCTAAAAATGGCACACCATTTGTTAAAGAAGAGTTATGCCTCATCTCGCAGTCATATTTCATATAACATAAATTGCAGGGGTATAAATTTCCCCCGTGATACTAGGAAAGGCAAATTATATAACTTTAAGTCAACTGTAATTACTTGGATCTGCTAACGGCATTTTGTGAAACGGATTAAAAGTTTTTAAATCATTGTAATGAACACTTTGCCATAAATTCTCCAGATTTGCTTTATAAAAAGATATATGGGGTACTTATTATAAATGTACTAAAGCTCTTGAAACTAATGTAAACATTATTTTTTACCTCTGTTAATCATGATCTCTCTTCTTTTGCTAAATTTTTATTTAGACACCTATTTAATTTAAAATAATGTACCTATATTTCGGCGCCAAACAATGAATTTCGCCATTTCTTGAAATGTCTAGTCAATTCGCGTATTCCCAAACACTGTAACAGAAAAAAAGAAATATATAACATTACACTAGCGTGTATCCGCGACTTCGTTCGCTTTGAATTAATCATTTGTAATGGTGATGATAAAGCAAAGCAAGAATTTCCATTAACATACAAACTCGATAAAATTTTCTCACATTTATGTCAGCATGGGAAAAACAATATGGCGATATTATTATATAACTTGGTAATATTTGAGGGATAGTTTCATCTTGTTGGAATTTGACTTTCGAAAAATCCGTTTGCCAAAAATAAGCTTTTTACGTCAAGCAGTTAGAGCAGAATCGTGGTTAATCAATTATCCAACTTTTTGGAACACCCTGTATGACTTTTTAAAAAATTCAAAATATGTAAAAAAACAAAATAAATTATGCGTGTCCAAACATTTTCCCGAAAGACTAACCGTTTTTTAAATAACAAATATTGTAATATTTGAGGGGCGTTTTCACCCTCTTGGAATTTGAGATTCGAGAAACCCCTCCTTATCAAACCTCTACACCCCACAGTCAATCCGTTTATCAAAAATCAGCTTTAAACGTCAAGCAGTTTAAGCAGAATCGTGATTACTCAATAATCATATTTTATGAAACACCCTGTATAAATATAATTTTTATTGTTGTCGATCCAATAATATATAATGTGTTCTTTTTTTATAAATTGGATTAGGATCGAAAGAAATCAACAGAAGTCCTTTGTTTTAAATTTGTCGACGTTTCGCAAAATTTATTTGCATCTTCAGGACACTACAAAGTTAAGAGAGCAAAAATACAATCAAATAAAAGTTTTTCCAAAAATTTAACAAACAACTTAAAATACATATCAGTGGAATTCCACACATATACAATTGGTAAAACTACCCTAATGTTAACAATTAAATAAAATATATGTATATGTTACTCACATTTAAATCTGGACTTTCTTAGTCATATCCATTAATACACGGATGGTATAGAGGGGAGTGGTATATATCCCTTTTTTCCTTTTAAAACACATAACACACTTACATAAAAAAAAACATATAACACAATTATGTATAGAGAAATATCACGAAAATCTTTTCCTTTCACAGACAAGCAGTGCAGATGTACCTACGTTGACCGTATACAGAGAGCAACTAATTCTAGTTGATAAAATACTAATATAATTTTTACCTGGAGATAAAGAACAGTTGAAAAAAGAAACATATAAAAATATTATTTGGATTTAAACCATTATTTTGAAGTTATATTATTTAATTTTTGAAAGAATATTAAAATATGCTGTACTCAGGTTTTCTACGTCTGTTCTTTTATTAACGCAATTTTTGTTTTTTTGGATTTCTATCATCTCTGCAAATAATCTTTTCTTATAATTAGATTGTGTTTGTAAAATAGTGGTATTGTCAAAATCGAAGTTATGGCCTGTCTCTATTTTGTGTTCTACTAATGCGGTAGGATTAGATTTCAAAAGAAAGTTCCTTTGATCATTTTTATGTTCATTCAATCTTTGTTTTAAATATCTACCGGTCTGCCCAACATAGCTTTTAGGACATTGAGTACAAGGAATGTTATATATTATGCCGGTTTCAGTTCTTTTTTATTCTTTGATTTTGTTTTGAAAGAACCGTCTCTTTATGGTGTTATGACTCCTTGTTGTAATTTTTATTTTTCCTGTTTTTTTGTAGTATGACCCTTAAATGTGTTTTTAATTTGTTCTGACAGACAGTCGATATAAGGTATTTACAATAAACTTCTCTATCATTTTGGTTAGTAGATTTTACAACGGTTTTCTTGTTAAGAATTTTTTTAATCATAGATATTGGATAATTATTTTTAATCAACATGCTTTCGATATATTTTAAATTTTTATTATGAAAATTAATTGATGATAGTGATATAGCTCTGATTTTTAGGTTATTAATAACATTAATTTTTTGTTTCAAAGAATGTTCGGAGGAATTGAGAGATTTCTCAATTATTCCTCCGAACATTCTTTGAAACAAAAAATTAATGTTATTAATAACCTGAAAATCAGAGCTACATCACTATCATCAATTAATTTTCATAATAAAAATTTAAAATATATCGAAAGCATGTTGATTAAAAATAATTATCCAATATCTATGATTAAAAAATGATTAACAAGAAACTGTTGTAAAAACTACTAACAAAAATGATAGAGAAGTTTATTGTAAATACCTTATATCGACTGTCTGTCAGGAACAAATTAAAAACACATTTAAGGGTCATACTACAAAAAACAGGAAAAATAAAAATTACAACAAGGAGTCATAACACCATAAAGACAAAATCAAAGAATAAAAAAGAACTGAAATCCGGCATAATATATCCCTTGGTACTCAATGTCCCAAAGCTATGTTGGGCAGACCGGTAGATATTTAAAACAAAGATTGAATGAACATAAAATGATCAAAGGAACTTTCTTTTGAAATCTAATCCTACCGCATTAGTAGAACACAAAATAGAGACAGGCCATAACTTCGATTTTGACAATACCCTATTTTACAAACACAATCTAATTATAAAAAGATTATTTGCAGAGATAGAAATCCAAAAACAAAAATTGTTAATAAAAGAACAGACGTAGAAAACCTGAGTACAGCATGTATAATATTCTTTCAAAATTAAAATATAACTTCAAAATAATGGTTTAAATCAAATAATTTTATATGTTTCTTTCAACTGTTCTTTTCTCAGGTAAAATTATATTAGTATTTTATCAACTAGAATTAGTTGCTCTCTATACGGTCAACGTAGGTACTGCTTGTCTGTGAAAGGAAAAGATTTTCGTGATATTTCTCTATACATAATTGTGTTATATGTTTTTTTTTTATGTAAGTGTGTTATGTGTTTTAAAAGGAAAAAAGGGATATATACCACTCCCCTCTATACCATCCGTGTATTAATGGATATGACTAAGAAAGTCCAGATTTAAATGTGTGTAACATATACATATATTTTATTTAATTGTTAACATTAGGGTAGTTTTACCAATTGTATATGTGTGGAATTCCACTGATATGTATTTTAAGTTGTTTGTTAAATTTTTGGAAAAACTTTTATTTGATTGTATTTTTGCTCTCTTAACTTTGTAGTGCCCTGAAGATGCAAATAAATTTTGCGAAACGTCGACAAATTTAAAACAAAGGACTTCTGTTGATTTCTTTCGATCCTAATTCAATTTATAAAAAAGGAACACACCCTGTATGAATTTTTAAAAAATCTTAAAATATGTAAAAAAACAAAATAAAATATACGTGTTTAAGCGTTTTTTTCGGAAACTTGACCGTTTTTTAAATAAAAAATATTGTTATATTTGAGGGGTGGTTTCACCCCTTTAGAACTGGAATTCCGAAAAATCCCTTCTTATCGAGCCTCTACATCCTAGAATCAACCTGTATGCCAAAATTGAGCTTCTTACGTTGAGTGGTTTGAGCAGGATCGTGATTAATCAGTGAGTCAGTCACTTAAGGATTTTATATATTAGTATAGATGTAAAAAAGTAATATAAAAAAATAAAAATGTGAATAGTGCTATCTGTGGTGCTATATTATAAACTTGACTTACCCTGTTAATTCTATTTCTAATCTATGATTTTTTTTTCAGAAACCGTTAAAGATGGCTGACGATCACCAGTATAAGCTGCTCTACTTTGACGTCCCTGGGCGCGGAGAACACATTAGGTATATTTTTGCGTATGCAGGGGTAGATTTTGAAGATTATAGGGTGCCGAAGGATCAATGGCCTGAATTGAAAAAAAGTAAGTCAAATTAATACCTATAAATCGATTATGAATACTAAATGTCTTGTAAGCAATGTGACATATCTAGAATTTTTTAGAACGGATATACCGCTATCAAATGTAAATTAGCTTATTTACACTTTTTTTCCATAGCAACTGTAAAAATTGCCTTATATCTATCAAAAATTGTAGATAAAATAGTACTTTAACCGCAGGGGTAGATTAAATGATACTTTAACAGCGAGGATAGGTTAAAAACTTTATTTCTTCTCGAACGTTTTTTAATTGCTTCCATTTCTGAAAAATTTTGTATTCTTTTCCCTAAGTTATGCGGGATTCAAATGGAAGTAGTTTGGATGTGGCGTTTGTCGCCTCAGCCTGAATATCTGTTGGTAATTTACTTATTTCGTTTTGAGCCACTTCTGTCTCCAATTCAATCAGCAATCGACACGAAAGAGAATTAAAAAATATTGACTCAAAACTGACAACCAGGGGGGTGACAGTAAACCGGAAAATTGGAAACAGTTGTGGCGCGGTTCTACCCAGGCAGAAAGCATGGCCTTCTAGACTGTCCTAGACAAAAATCTGAATATTTCTGTATGATTTCTGTCAATTTCTGCTACGGAACATTTTTATGCAGGTCGGCGTTCTGTTCTTTTGTCTTTTGTCTGTGTGTCAGCGTCAGCTCCCGAGGCCTCTGGTAAGGTCGGGCGCCATTTTAATTTTTGCCGTTTAGATTTGATTGGAAGTTTGTTTCTGATATTTCGGCTGAAATTTATAAGTACAAAGATGTTTTTTGATATAAAGTTCCTTGTTAACACTTTAATAAAGTATATATGATATTAATTACATGAAGAAAATGATGAAATCGACGTTTCTGCGTGTAGTAGGTATGGGCCATATTATATGTAAAAATAGGTAATATATTAACTGTTTTTATATTTTTTTAGCTTTAAACCCAAGGATCTTGGGATATTCTTTGCCAAGGATTTTTCCGTATCTCTACTTTAAAGACTGATCGGTGATTTTGAGCAACTGAAAGCAAGTTATACAAGGTAAATTATGATTATTGAAGTATTATTAGCCTACATTAATTTTCTACAAGATGAACAGATATGCGTAATTACATATTACATAGGTACCTATTATGTATTTTCATAGCAATAATGCTATAAATCTATGTATGTAGATTATTTTTAAAATACAAATGAGGTATTAGATGTATATGTATTATATTTTTTATTCATTTTATTTACATTCAAGTCCTGTTTGATTTAATTCACAAAAGTCTTATGTACCTATATTTATATTTTTTACATATTTTTTTTGATTCCAGGTTTTGTGTGGGTTCCGGTTGCCTTTTTCCTGCTTCCAGTTATTTAGTTTTATGTCCGTGAAGCTGTGAAAACATTTATTTATCTTCAAGTTTCTGTAAGTCAATGCACTGTTACTTTACTAATTCGCTTTAACACAGCATCTCTGATATTATTTAAATATTTGATATTGATACAGTAGTTTATTGGATTATAGCTCTTTAATTGTGTTGATTTGCATATTTACATTGTTCTAAATTCCAAATAAATATTTTTGAGTAATTTTGTTGTATTATTTACTACTAGAAAGAGTAAAAAGTATATTAACCCTCATTTAAACCTCCTGAACAGCCCGCCATTAAAAACCGGAAACGGAAATAAATTTCATAAAACTGAAATTGTCATGTCTATGTCATGTCAAATGTCCCAGACGCCATATCTGAAAATTAGTTACCCAGGCAGTCACGCTGTTTCCATAATTTAACATTGACTTGACACTTCTTCTTGTATTTATTATTTTATGCTGACAACTACAGAGACAGCTTTATTTATTTGTCAAATTACATAGAAACCAACGCCAACCCAGCACAATATTTTTTCTACTCTATATAAAAGTATTTTTTATTGACATCGGGCCAATCAATAATTTTTCCAATTAGCTCGATATATTGATGATGTTCCCAGTATTATTGATTAATCAATACTACTGTTATATTATTCAATTAAGCCCGCGTAAACAAACATAACATATACAATTTTATATACTAATTCATTATAATAAAATTAAATAATAAACTCATATTGTAATTATATTCCGACAGATTGAGTGAAAAGTTTGTTCTTGAATATCTACTCTACATGTTATAAACGCGTGTTAAAATATTAATCTAGTGGAATTGTAATGGAATATTTTGGAGCAGACAACAAACCAAGCTTGTTGAAACTTTGTCGTGTGTTTCCGCCCTTAAATTGGTATTTTTTCAGAAGATCGTAAAAACTGTTTAGAATGAAGGACCCGTTTCTATGGGAAAAACTAAATATTTTTCTGTTAGGTTTAAAATCCCATGTCCATAAATTAATATAATACTTGCTTTGAAACAGCTAGAAACGACTAGCATCAATCATTAAAGCTGTAAAACCCTAAATTTTAACTTCGAGATTATATAAGCAAAAAACCCCTAGAAAGCAATAAAACTCTAAGACGACACTCTTCTCACGATAGACCTCCCACGGGCCAATACAAACAGATTTTGGATAAAAACAAGTATAATTGTTAATTTAAATATTAAAGTAAAGTTCACGTAATGATATTCTGAAAATTAAGGACTGTCCTCCTTTTTTTATCCAAAATATCCAAAATTATATGAAATAAATAAACATATAAGATGAAACAGCGAAACCTAATGAAATCAAAATTATAAATATGATTTGTTTTGGTTTTTTTAAGGACAGACCTTAAAATATACTTTAGTTAGGGTTAGTTTTAATCATGTGTAATTGTGTTTACGGTAATTATAATATTTACACGGATATTAGTAATAATTTGGAAATAATATAGAAATGCTCATAGTAACGACATCTGTGACAAGTAGGGCGAGCTAGACCGGGAACGACAGGGTAGTTGAGGTTTTCTCAGACCAATCAGACGGTTCCTGAAAAGCGAACCCGAAGAGGATTTGAGAATGGCTCGGCTTTTGGGGGTTCCCTATTCGTTTTACCCGCCCATTTTAAAGATTTCGAGATTTAGGAATATAGTTTTTTGGATCAGTTCGGTACTGACTTTTAAATTAGACGGTCGAATTTACTCCGTATAGATCTTATATTATCCAGTGGTTTCTTTTTAATAATTTTAGTAAGTTTTCTATTTAAAGATTTTCTTAAATATTCAATTCTCAAGTTAGGAAATTTTAAACATTTCATGTATAAAGATTTTTAATTTGTTGTTTTAGATTTTCTTTAATATTTTTTATTAACGATTTAAAACTTTCTGTTTGTTCTAAAGGCTTTAGTAAAAGTTAGATGTCATCACACAAATGATTATTTTGCAATTGTTCTTTTTATTAAATTGTAATTTAAATCCAATTGTTCAGTTAATATTTTTTTTTGACATATTAATTTTCTGGCAATGAAAATTCTAAGAGAGATTTAAATTGTATGCTAATTTTAGATAATTTAGATTAGACTAATAAGAAGAATATTTTGTATTTTTAACTTTATCATTTCTGAATTTTAATATCATTTATTAGTTATTTTTGATTAAATTTCGTTCCTTTTTTTTTATTTCATTAATTATAAATGTCTTGTTAAATCTTTTTCTTTATTTTCATTTATTTATTTTTTTATATTAAATATTGTTAGGTGTTGTGAAAAATCGGCATTTTATTTTTTTACTCTCACCTTTTCACTAAAATATTAAACTATCTAAAAGAACACTGTGATAACCGCTCGAGAGGTTTAATGTAAAGAATGAATCCAAGACCGAAGTGGAAGATCTACAAGGAGATCAATGAAGTCTTCGACACGTTCTTGTTGTTGATGAAATGCTGACGGATGTTGACGTAATAAGGTAAGTGGTAGTAGAATTGTATATTAACTGAATTTAGAAAGAACTCTTACCATAAAAGTGCGATACCTTAATTTCTATTTTTAGCTGGATATATTTTGTTTTTTTATATGTAAACGATAATCTATATTTACGCTCTGAAAAGTCGGTGTTCTCATTATCCAAGTTCTGCCTACCGCTCAGTAAATTATTTTAATTATAATTATATAAAGGCCACACTACCATGTTAACGGACAAATCTTGAAAGTTTTGTCACAGAATATATATCAACATAAACCGAGATTTAATTAACGAAATATCATCGTAACAACAGTTATTTTAGAAACGTCTAGGTTTACTTATTTCACTGAGATTTATGAAAAAAAACCTTTGCCTCGGGTGCAGATACCGCCACGTTTTGGAAATAGCTGAAAACGAAACAAAATTGAACGAGGCAAAAGGAAACGCAAAAAAACCTACGCCCTCCTCATGAGTAGTTTTCAGGCGCTTTTAAGAATCGAAAGTATGTCGAGGCAAGTGGGTCAAGAGTGTCAAGACAACTGGAAATAAAAAATGCGACAAAGTTGGGCGACGAAACGCGACCTTGCCCTGCTTCGAAGAGTTCTCTGCATTGTGTAGAGGCCGTTTAAGAATGAATATCTACAGCCTTCTCTTTTTAATTAAGCATTCTTTGAACTTTGAGTGGACTTTATCCATCATAGAGTGACTTTTGTGGAAGTTAAAATGATATAACCGGAGACTAAACACATTTTTATTAGAAGGACCTTTAGATATTTCAGAAAGAAAATTTTACATCATAACGGGAAGCAGAAATTTTAAAAGAAAAACAACTACTGTATTAGTAAAAAAAACAGCGAGATAAAGTAAAGAAAATATACGTTTCGGGGCAAAATTCATAGCTAAAATTTTCTAACATTTTTAATTAAAAGGGGAACGGCTACAGGTCACGTGCAGCACGTGACCTAGCACGAGGCAGTAAATTCTGAGTTACTTTAGAGATAGGTAATATTAAACGACGGCACTAATAATGCTGTTCACGTTTTTCCTTTAGTCTGTACAGTCAAAGTTCATCCAATGATAAATTGGCAGTTATTTATTGACAATAATAAAAAACAAAATTACTTGTTTCAACAAGAACATTG